ACAAAAGGATACACATGGAATAAACAGCTCGTTCACAGTCACAGATGCAGTAAGTGCCAAGAGGAGCATTAGAAAACAGACCCACTGCATTGCCTGTCTTCAGCACAAGCTAAGTACATTAAAAAAAAGATTATTTTCATCTTTCTTCAGTTCTACATGGCTTGGAGCTAATTTAGAGGTAAATAAAATGAAAACAACCTTGAGAAGGCCAGAAATCTTTATACCTGCCACCAGCACATAGACAGTTTTATTCTGGAATTTTTTTGCTTCATTCTCTTACTGCGTCTAATAATTCAGCAAGTCTAAGCAAGGCAGCTTCTTGACAGGCTCCTGCTAATGTGTCCACAGGATCTCTGGCAGTTGGAAAGTGGCAGGCACTCAAAGTCAGTCAGCTTCACTGAGGTGTTATAAATAGCCATGAATTTTTCCTTTTGGATTTCAGATGTTCAATGTAGGATAACTCAGGAGCGTCCTTCCTCAGCTGATCACAACTGACCTTGAAAGTCATTACTGCTTTATTTTGTGCTAAGGGATTATTTGGATCACCTCATCACCGCTCCCTCCCCCCAAAGATTCATCTTGCCATTTTCCCCATGAATGACCAATCATCAGCTGTTACAGGGTATAGAGGACCACTGACTTTTCTAACATCTTTTGGCCGTTTACCAGACTGCAGCAGTTAGCTGTGTAGCTCCAGAGGCAGCCACCACACGTAAAACCTGAAGTGAATGCATAGTGAAGCGGTGCTGCATTTTGCCCGAGTACTGACATTGTTGCTGCTTTTCTCAATTTTGGGCTTGACGGGCTTAATCACAGCACTGGTATTTTCAACTTCTACTTCTTTTAATCATCCTAAGCATTTAGTATTGTGTATGAAGAGAGAAAAAGAAATCCAAATAAAATCTCCCATCCACACCTCAAATCCAAATCAACCTCCACCTTCCCCATCCAAAAAATAAGCTAGAAAGCAGGTTAAAGAAAACCAGAACTCAAAGTGTCTAGTTACTCTTCCAAAGCTAGTTGTAAATATTCTGAAAATTAAGGCTACACAGTAATGCAATGGAGAGAAAGTCCCCTGGCAGTAAAGGAAACAATGAAAATGAAGACATACATCTCCATGCATAGAATTTGCTTTTCACCTAGGGATCTCACTGTGTTGGACCAAAACTCATTCATCAACTCCACTACATTCTATGAATTCCACCTTTGCAATTTCTATGCTCTAAGACTGGGACCAGTAAGACTGGAAAATGCAAACTTATCTTGCAAATGTAAGGCTTAAGTGAGTTTTAAAATAAAATTTCCGTGTCTCCACCACTGCACTGCCACAGGACACCAATGACCTATACTGTGCTCATCCACAGTTGGTCTAGAAACAAGACAGCTTCAACAGAATTCCACATTTAACTCCAAAGATCCTTTGATCGAGTAGGACTTTTCATCCCTTTCCCCCTTCGTGCCGAATTGCTCCCTAAAGTTAACTGGGCCAAACTCGCGTTTAACGGTTACCTGACAGTGCAGGTGACACAGCCATAATAACACACATGCATCACCTCTACTTCTCCCTGTCCACACCTGGTGCTCCACAACCCACTGCACAAGTCGGGATCTGCTGACAGCACAAAAGGAAATCTCTTCACCTATCTGCAGGGCTGGAACCAAATGGCTTCTCTTCATGTATAAACGTTCTACTGCTTTAGGATTGTTAGTGAGGAAATGACGCCGCCTTCTTTTTCAAATATAAAATCTGATTTCTTTTTTAAACCAAAAATTACTTCTGTGATTTTCATCTGATGAGAAAAGTATGGCTTCCTCCCTGCCCCCAAAAGTCTTAACTAATATCATCATAGTCTGGATTCAGCAAGTGAAGGTTTTGTTTCTTCCTCTTTCTTAATTTTTTTTTTTTTTTTTTTTTACATTATAGATTAACTTTGAAAGCAGTTTACAGATACATAAGAACTATATATTCAGTCAGGCAATAATGTATTTGCAAAGGCATCAGAAAAGCACAGTACCACATTTCCAAGAAAACAAATATAGACTTAAAACTTTCCCAACAAAATACACACATACATCACTGTGTATCTACAATACATCTAATAGAACCATTCCCTTAATAAACTCTTTTCTAGCTGAAATTTGTTTTCATTCTGAAAGTAATTTATTAAAAAAAAAGTGTTCCATGACTTGGAGCAATAAAATTTGTGTAATGTATAAGGCTTTTCTACACAGTTTCTGTAGAAATTATGTGCAAAAAGAACTCCAATAAAGAAAGTAAAGGTTGCGACACAAATTAGAGTCAACATTTCTAAAGGAAATAATGAGTTTTACTTCACTTTTTCCCAGTGATCTTTCCCCGAAAGCTGCTCAGACTACGAGAACAGACCTAGTCAACCCATTAGTGCCAAATACTGGCATTTCTTTTACAGTTACTGGAAAATGAAGCAGTATTCACTTAGGATAGAAACAAGATATACCATCAGTCTGCTAAGCCTAGGTAGGAAGATCCTTCATTTAAATATTTGGAAATGGATGGATTGGAAAAAGAAGGAGAAAAAAAAAAAAAAAAGAGTTTCAGGGAGCATAAAAAACTACTATGTTTTCAAATTCATTAAAACAGTATCACAGCTGTCAATGCATTTTAGTATGTGCAACATGTTTCAGGACATAAACTGTAATAAAAAATAAACCATACTGCTCCCCTATCGCCCTTTAATAGCACAATCCCTCTGCCAGTGCAATTTACTGTGTGCATTACTTAGCCATGCAACGTCAAAAGAAAATAAACAATGGAAATCAATAATCTTCACATTAAAAAAATAATAGAAGCAACCTTAGATTAACAGCAACTAATTTGATATCTACAGACAAAGCTTTAATTCCCCACATGAAGCCAGCATTAACTGCAGTTCTATTTCTGCCCGCCTGGAATCAGGTGGGAAGGGCAGGCAGAAGATGCCATCCCTGTGATCTTCTGAGCACCTCACCAACTCTGTGAAGGATCCAGGGAAGATGTGTGAAATGAAGAAGGGCAATTCCTTACTGCCCTCAACACTGGCTACTTAGCAAGAACTGCAGCTCCTCTGACTTCTGTGGGCATTATCAGACCTAACAGCGATGGAAGAAAACAGCAGCATTTGGCTCTAAGCCTCTCATTTGATGAGCAAATTTCATACATCAAGTGAAAGGCAGAGTTGGGTGCTTATAATTAAAAAAGGATAACTTGACAAATTCCACTGAACAACTGGTTACTGCAACCTCACAGCTTTTAACCTGAAATCTATTTGCTTTGCTACAGGCTCAAGTCTCAAACTTGTCACGCGCTTATGTACCAAAGTTGCCATTTAACACAGAAGCCAAAAATGGGTTCTTCAGGTTTAACAAATCACTGAAGAAGGCTGGAACCAGCCAGAAATCATAAGGAACAGAGCATGAAAGTCTCTTCTGCTGCTCCCTGGAGGTTCTCACTGTGCTGTCATAGTGTCATCTTGTGCCTTTAGGATATAAACTCAGAGCTAATGAGATTGAAGCAAAGGTCATCTTTCCTAAGACAGGATTTCTTAAGGACAACAAGTTCAATCTGTCAAACCTTTTTGGAAAATACAAACTGTGTAACTATATAAGATTAGTTAGCCCCATCTTGTGCGCTCAGTCATTACGCCACAAGAAACATGCACTTGCAGCTGTATATAAGAAATACTGTCCTTTTAGAAATTGCACCTTTAAATAGTCTTCCATTGAAGATTTCTTAATAGACCCAACGAGAAGTGGCTGCACTGAAGCACTTACTCATCTCTTGATTTTTCATTTCATGCTTTCAGCACACTGCACTTGTGCAAGTCCTTTTTCTAGGGCCCAGTTCTAAAGTCAGTTGGACTCCTAAAAGCCTTGCATTTGAAGTGATTAAACAATGGCCAATTTCAAACCAATGCTTCAGTACTTTATAAAAATGCTGCCTTATACTGACCTGTACTTGACTTTTTAGTGGAGTTCTTAGGGATGCTGTACACAGAAAAAAGGGTTTAATGCTCTGAAGCAAATATTAACACATTAGGCAGCATTTGTGTGAAAACTATTTCAAAGCCAAGAAATTAAGCAAAGAATGCAAAATGAGAAGTGACTGATTAACAGTTTTGTGACAATCATGTATGTTGAATTAAACTGGCTTATCACTTCTCTCTCCCTTCTGAAACATTAATGCCTTTCACACTGCTGCATACCATGCTGACTTATGTATCTAGCAGAAAAGGCAGTGTTCCACAGATAATCTTCCCTGCATACCACCTACCCTTTGAAACACTTGTACTCCATCAAACAAGGATCTGGGAGCATTAATCGTCAAGACACACAGTCTACAGTTCTTACAGGGTGCACTTCCTACAGCTCAGATGTGGCAGATCTGAAGATTACCGAAACCAGTACTAGAACATTCAGGGTTTCCCTTCTTTAAATGTCTATTTCCAGAAAATGAATAACCTCCAGCATTGCAGATAAATGCATTTAAGAAAATAATTGAAAGACTTATTGGCAGTCTTTCTAGACACTTCTGTGACTTCATGCAACAGCTTGTGATTTTACAACTAAGCTGAAGAATATGCCTTGTATGTACCCTGCAAGCTTGCGAGCCCTTCAATTACTGTAACAGAAACAACAAGCCTTGCACTTGGAAAACTAATGGCATTAATCATTTATCTTTCAGAATATATCTATCCCCACCACTACAACGTACATATAAAGCTAATATTTCCAAACAGTTTTACAGAGAGTATTTCAGTTCCCTGCTAAAGATAAAATGCCAAACTGTTCTCTCAGGCTTACTGCAATCCAAGTATGAATATGAGTGGGAAGGAAATGCAAACTTTCAGAGCCATTCCTTCAAACTCACAGAATATTCATTTTAGATGCAGCTGTTAAGAAGAACTACTGGTACTTTTTTCACCTTTTTCCTTTGCAGCACCCAATGAACACAAGTTCTTATACATTCTCCAGTGTGTACTTACCCTTAGTTCAACTTCTTTGCCAAGTAAGTCATATAGACTCGCTCCTTTGGAGGTAATTTCAGAAGCAAGCTGTCTAGCTGCCTTCAAGTCAGCAATCTGGAAACACAACAGCAGCACTGAATAGCAGAAGAGAATCCCCAATATCACAAAGAAAATCCATGACAGATTTTTCCCAATTTGATGTTAAAATTGCATAGGAGGTCAGCACAGTGGCCAAAACTCTACTATACTATTGAAGAACTTGTCCACTGGAATCAGACTGAGCCTGTCTCTTTGCTTTAAAATGGTCTAAATGAGGCACCATTTAGACATAGGCTTCTGGGTGAAGCCCCAGCCCCTTTAGGCCAACAAAAAAAACCCCGCAACCTCCTCAAAACTGCGACTCAGCCAGTTGTTGGTTCATGTGCTGCCCAGGGCAAAGGGAAACATCACCTTTTTCATATACAAAAGTAAAAAGTATCTATATCAAAAGGTATGTGACTAGCACATTGCATAGGTAATGAATACTGATCATCTACAAGTTGTTTTTTCATTATTTCTTCAGACAGACACACTAGACTTACATAGAGGAAAAATCACCTGTGGTTCTGCCATTTTTTCAAGAATGGTAGTATTATTACCTAACAAGCAGACATGACATAGTATATCTATAAAAGAATCAAAGACTAAAAATATTAGAATATAGAAGAGATGCTAAAACTAAAAAAAAGCAGTAACAGGAATTCCTCTTATTTAACAAAGTGTTGGGTTTTTTTTTAATATCTACAGATAACATTTATTTTAAGGGCTTGAACAGCTTTGATGTCTGTTAGGGTAACATGAAGATTTCCCTTTCCTTCAATGCAAACAGGCTGAAAACCAACTTTCAGTCAGCATTTTGCAAACTTCCGCCGTTGCAACAAGGTTAGTAGACAGAAAATAGTCTTTATTCTGGCCTACTCCAATATTTCTATGATTTCAACAGCAGTCCAAACCAAAGATAACCAGTTTTGCCACTGTTGCCTTGTATTATGCTTCTGCTTGAGAATTCACAGAGATTAAAACAAATCATAGCATATAACCTCAACTACAGAAAGTATGAGTTAAAACCGTACCCACTCCCTTGCGAGAACATTCTCTACTTAAGTTTCAGATAGAAAATGGATTTGTTTTTCATAAGTTAACACAAAACCTCTGCCCAAAGCAAGAGTACAAGTTTTCCTTACTTTTGAGCCAAGATCAAACTTGAACTTGCTGCTGTCTTCCTCACTCACATCTGCACGCTCCACTCCCTTAGTATTCATAGCACCACAAAGCACAGAGGTGACCTTTAGCAGTTCCTTCACTGCATAGCCATCTGCCTGGTAAAGCTTCTTAGTGTTGAGCTTTATGTGAGCTTTGGTAGCCTTTGGGAAGAAAGAATTAATTCATTGTGTCATAAAGAACAAAATCCTCATTTACCTCTTTCACACTTCACTTGAAAGCTCTTTTTGGGGGCACCATGCTCTGCTTTACAGAAATAAATCTTCCTGTTTGGAAACACAAGTTTGCCTCATCATATTACTAATGTTTCTAGAAAAAATTTTCTGAAACATGTGCACTTTCTGCATGTCAGAACATTTGCAGATAATTGCCAGAATGAAAAAACTCAAACTATCCATTAATTCTTCCCTGCATGAATATCAGCAAAAACCCTGTGCACCACTTAAATTCAAATTAAGTTTAAGTGGAATGTAAGTGCTGCCCAGGTCTTGTGATGATGCTGCAGAGAGGTAAATTTCACCCTTAATGAGTTACAAGAATAAGATCAATTATCCTAATTTAACTGTCTTCTCTTCCAACAGTACCTTCAGAACATTTTGTTTCTCTCAAATTTTTCCCTGCTATGATATTAGTGATTTTATTCCCTTGTCTTCCATCCCTGAAAAGTACAGACAGACCAGTAAGGAAAAGAAAAAAACACATTAAAAATTACAACATTATCTTTTTTATACTTTAAAATAATAAAGGGGGAAAAAGAGCATAATAGAAATGATACATCTGTCACAGAAAGTACACAAATGTTGTTCTTGAAATTCCTGACAAGATTATATTATAAAAGAATAGCCACAAGGAGCCAACACCAAACTTCAGGTAAAACTTGAGGCAGTCTTCCTGGCGGCACGACTAAACAAGCAAGCAAACAAAAATTGATCACCAGTTATGAATACAAAAACTAAGCATCTAAATGACTTAACATTTTCTTTTCAGTATCTTTTAAAGATGAAACTTCTGCTAAAATGCTTATCCTTTGGGAATACTGTGTGGCAGAAACAATCTATCCACGACTCACTTGTGGTATTACACAACTTTGGTATTACAGTGTTACCGTAAGCAATTCACACCCCCCTAGGGCTCTGACAGTGCAAGACCTTCAATCTGGGGTAAAAGACTCAAACATTAAAATGGTTAGTACAAGTTTTGCCCACTCTGCACTGAGCTTCACTCAATAACTGACTGCAGGAAAATTTCCTGTGAAACTAAAGAGAGAAAGGACCATGGATTTAGCTCCAACTTTTCAAAGAACAAAGGAAACAAAGCAAATAGTTGTTGGCCCATGTTTCTTCATATGTATCTTGTCAAACTTTATGACTTCACAATCAGACACAAAGTGGAAAGCCAGTTCTCCTTCCTTCCCTTTCAGTAGAAGGAATCTAAAAAACTAATCGTAGAAACAGTAGGTATTAAATTTTAAGAGAAGCAGGTCATTAAATTGACAGAATCTGTTAAACATCCCCTACACAAAGAAGACGAAAGCATCACACCATAAAGGATGTTCTTAAAGACAGGAATTCCAATTTGAGTTCCATTCAACCCCAAGAGAGAAAAATCAATGTCTAGTAAAAGGAAAAAAAAAAAAGTTTCTTCACTCAAAGACTACTTAAAAAGAGGAAAAAATACACACACAAGCACATATATTTTTCAGATCAGCATAATGGCATTGCTTACTCAAGAAGGTAACTTCATGCTTGGAAAGCTTGAGAGCGTCACTTGTTTTCTAACAACTCTAAACAGTTTTAAAGTATCATTAAAAATCACCTGCATCTATTCTGAAGATCAGATTATTACAATGCAATAGAAGAGAGAAATAGAAATATACTGCAAGAACAGCATCAACAGCCAGAAAGTTTGCTTTACTTTAAAATCTGCTTTGTTATTATCATAGAGCCAAATTTTGACAGCGTGATGGAAATGCAAGAACAGCCCAGGGAAGAACCAGAACTCCCAGCCGAGTGCTCCAACCATTTGGTTGTAGAGTCATGGTCTTTAGCCTGTCTAGCCCAAACATTTTGCATTCTTTCCTGTACAACAGCACATTCTCAACAGGAAGAATGAGGATTGCTCTCATCTCCCTGGCTTGTTTAATACTTAGGATAGTCTCCTGGGTACTGAAGCAGTGGCTCTAAATCTCCACAGGCTGAAATGGGAATTGAACACATGATACTTCCCGGAAAGCACTCAGGAAGATTATTAGCAGACATCGCACCAACTGCTTCTCCCATCACTTTTTAAAAAACAAGTATGTCTGCCTTTTGCAAAAGGTTTGGTACCTTGGTTTGCTAAGTATGTTTTCATGAATGCATTTTGATGAGACTAAACTCATCAGAGGCTTTTTGCTGCACTCTACCTCAAATTTGGATCCAAGTGGGCTTGAGCAGGAGCCAGGTATTGAGCCACACAGATTAGGGCAGTTCTAGGTGGGCAAACGATTAAAAAACCACATAACACAACCCTGCAGGCACTTCAGGAACTTTTGGGTCCAAAAAGGAGACATTTGGCAAGTTCTCAAACTACCAGTAAAACAGAGCAATACATAATTTGTGTAAAAAATTAACACATCTTTACTCCTT